AGGGAAAGCAATAGCTGTTTCATTTAAATCAATCCAAATCTGAAGCTGTTTACGGTTCTTTGCACATACATAAATTGCATTATTAACTGCTGCACAAAGATTACTGATCTGTAAGAATGTAGAGAATTAATTTCCTAATTTTCTTGCCTACCAGCTTATCAGGGATTGTTTTGGGGGAAGGAGGTATGTTCTGGGATCATGTTGGAAAATCCGTCAGTCTTGCAGAACAAAAAATGTAGCCAACAGCATTGAATTTTGCCATCTTTGAATAATAAAGATACCAGTTTGTTGTCTGTTGCTAAATAAGGGCTTTACTTTCATCTACAGCCCATTTTAAATTTTTTTTTTTAAACACTGAGCCTAACAGGAGCCCTTACACACAGCTTCATTGGATTTTCTTTGTGGAGAGATTGCTGGCCTTGTTTAGTAGGCATGTTTATTTGCAATTTGCAGATTTTCATTGCAAGTGGTGGTCTAACCATACCTGCTCTACCTTTTCAGAAAAGGTGGAGCAGCTATGGTTAGACAGACTCAGTTGGGTCTGAGTCACAGACCGCTGTCACACAATGGTAATATGATGCAGTTTTTATGAGCAGAGACCATGAATTTGCGCACACTTCCAAATTCATTTTGTTTGTTTACTGTTGGTATGACTTCAGTTCTTAGTTTGCATACTAATGTGTAGGATCTCTACCTATGTTTTGCTCAACACTGGAGTCTTAGATAACCCGCAGCTGAAAACAATTCTGTCAGCATACACCCCTTCTAATTGCTGGTTTTGTTTAATGTCTAAAACACATTTGGTTGTAGATCACACTGAACTCGGTAAGAAGAGTTTAATGTTTGAGTTACCTCTTGCTACTTAGAAGTTTGTATTTTCCCATAAGCTGTTTTGTCCAGCTGTGTTCAACCTCCTTACTATATTCTCAGTTTTAAAGCCTGGAGTGCTGTCAGCTTCAGGATTAGAACAGTGGGGCTCCCTAATTTCTGCAGCAGTAGTTCTTTTCAGCTTTTAAGTATGATTCAGTTTCTAGAGTTTTTTTAAATGATGTAGTCCTCAGGTGCTCTAATTAAAGAAATAGGGCATTAATGAAATAAAGTTGTGGTGATTCTGATGATTCAGTCTTTGCTTCTGGCATTTAGAAATTCATTAGTCATAGTTTGATCTGTCTTCCAGCAATGGAGCCAAGACTTTGCAATTTCTGCCAAGATTTGTGGACTCTTGTGTGCAGATTTATATGGGAATGCATTGTTGTTAAGAGACCACACTCTTGATGTCTTAAATTCTGCAGATAACCAAGGTGCTCTGATAAAGGTCTGTAAATGTAACTTTACCAAAGGCTGATAGAGAGTAACACTTAGTAAAGTCAGATTTGAATTTAATATTGCCTTTATACATATATATATATATTTTGTTAAAGCTAACGATTAATTTGATCACTCTTTTGGTAATTCCCTTGTAATATTTTACTCTTGCTACATTACCATCAAATACAGTATGCTGTGTTGATTATGGAGCCTCTCACTGGGGGTGGTTGTGAAAAAAGAACTGTCTTCCCTCCTTTGTGTTCCTCCCAGCTCATTCT